ACTCTATTCGACGCACTTTAAGTACTAACGAGTTCGTGGATTTTTCTTTTGGACGAACGTTGGACGTTGCTCCCAACTACTGTCGTTTAAATTTTTCTTTTTTACGATACATGCACTTGTAATTCATGTTTTTCTATTACATCCGTTTATTTTTTGCCGTTTTGGTCGCGTTGGCAGGTTCTATTTCACTACTTGGCAAACCTAACTACACGTACATACAGCATTGTGGATTAGTGAGCTTACTTTTAAATAATCATTTTTAGTTTTGCGATAATAAGTATTGATATATCGGTTAGATGAACGATAGTAGTTGAGGCTCGATTCTTTTGGAGCTGTGTAATCTGTGCGATTGAAACTTCATTTCTCAATGTATATTGTATTCTCTTTGCAATTTTATAAATAATTATGGAAAGGAATATGACTCACATGCGAAATCCCTTCTAATTATTTTAATTTTAGGAATCTTATTCCATTCAAATAGCAGTTGGATGTCCAACCTAATTATTAAGTAATATTTATTACGTACTTTGATTTTGTGTTTCTAATGTTTTTATCCAATACCTACTTTTAGAAATCAAGGATCATTGTCTCGTAATATGAGTGAAAATGATTGCACATGATTGCAGACTAATAAATGCAGTCACACAGGATAAAAATCACAGCACCAAGAAGGCTCGATTTTTCAACAATTTCTAAACGTCCGGTCCTACTTGATCAATTAAACTATCCATCCGATTTTTTTTTTCGCTTCTCGATCCTGTTCGCTCTGCCACGTTACTTGTCGCTCTATCTTACACGGACTACGTGTTAACTCTTAATCGTACGCCTCGTATAGCTTACCTACATATGTACAACCGCGGTTCGAGGGGAAGAACAACCTCGTAGAGCGTTGGTTTCGATCATATGAATTGGCAACAAATTAAAACCGACTCGGTTCAATCATTAAACTTATCCTTTCATTAAGTTCTTTGAAAAAAACTCGAGGATTAGTTTTCGGTTGCAGAAACTGTTTTAGTCTATCTGATCAGCAGACAGTAGAAATTTTTTGGTAATTCACTAGTTTGTAATTTCTGCAAACTTTCTGTTTAAATTTTCAGTGACAATCAATCAATCAGCGTAGAATCTTTAGAGTGAGACATGCAATTAGAACAATTTTGATTTTAATGATAACTGGTTACGATGAGAGATCAATTCTATTAACATGATAATTCAGATACCTTGCATAATAGCAGAGAACTATAAAAAAAGGTAAAAATATTCACTATTATTGCTTAAGATATCCAAATAATACCAAGAATCTTTAGCTTCAATAGAGTCTGTAACTTTCACAGTATACAGTAAACTGAACATTGGTTATTTTAAAAAACCAAATATAATTCTGAAGCTTTTAAACACTGACAACAAGTGGTAACAAAAGTCTGAACGATGCATTGTATAATAAATGCAACAAATAAATGCATAATCTCCCTTAAACTGTACAATATCCATCTAACCAATTCTCACTAAAATGAACATTCAATTAATTATCAGAGTGCTTTTGTTTGGCAACACCAGTGTACAAACAGTTAAAAACAAACGATTCGACGCTTGAAAGTCACCAAATTGCCAACAGTCGAAACCGTCCCTCTACACCAGAACCTCTTCTTTCTTGTTTTTCGCACACGAAAAATTCGACACACACGCGTGCACACGCACGTTACCCACACATATCCACACGCCGCGTTTCGCGCGTTCACAGACGCACAGTGGGCCGGCACAACCGATCTTAGGAACCGACTGGAATAAGCGACGGGTCGCGCCACAGCCCCCGGGAAACCTCATTTGGATAAACAATTAGCGTAGCGTAAATAAAAAAGAAAAAAAAAGGGAACTACCCTATAACGTCTAAAACGCTTCCCTGTTTCTTTCACAATCTCGCAATAATAAATTCGCACGCAATCTCTCTGCTTCGCGTTTTTTTCTCGCCATTTCCCTCTTTTTTTTATAATCATGTTATCTCTCTCCCTCACACACTCACGCACACACCTCGTGTATATATAATA